GTGCTTCTACCAATTGTGACATGAAGGTGTCATTTAAGAAGTTCAATAACCTATGCCCATCATGATATTGCTTCCTGTGTGCTACTGCCTTTGGTTCCCCCATTTTTATATTTAGGCTCCTTGCATTAGTAAGCATGCATTTATTATTGTCATGTGCCTCTAGTACTTGTATCTGTGTGAATGTTTACCACTATTACATACCTCCCGTGTTCTGATCTTGTCCATCTCCATCCCCCTTGTGCTGAGCTAAATCCCATCTTCTTTCTGACCAATCTCCATTTTGTAAATTTCGGCATTGCTCCCCCCTACCACTAGTTTAAAATCTCCTCCAACGCCATCTTGGAGCCCATGCTAAATGCTTGTCTGTCCTCCAAAATCCCTGTCTCATGCTGTTCCATCTGACCAAGGACTATAAGGACTGCAAATTACTTCCTCAAGGCGATTACTGGTTGTTGCTGAGTAATACAAAAACAAATAGAAACATAAATTAAGCCCTCTACTTAAACTCCCACCACCCTTGGTCATTAAAGTACAAGCTCACCTGTAGAGTAGTAGGAGTTTGAGGACTTATTTTTGTGTATTTGTGTTTGCCTTTGTATTACACAGCCATGTTACAATGCTGCCTCCTACCCCATGTGTTCACTATTAAGGGTTAATAAGTGTGGAGGAGTTTCGAAAAAACAATGCAAATGTATTTATTTGAGTGATGTGTTTTAGTCAGTCGTCCCTAGGCTGCACCCAGGAATTTAAATAACCAGAATTCTGTCCAATAATCTTGTTACATCGCTTTCTATGTTAAGTCTAAAGTATATTGTATTCCACACTTCTCTATACTGTTCCTATTTTGGAACTGCCCCTCTGTTACAGTTAGAATGGGTCACATAGTACTTTAGCTATCTTTGACAGGTCATGTATTATTTATTTCACCTTATCCCTCTGATAATGTTTGTTCCAGAAGACTACATATAAAAAATATTATGATTAAAATGAACCATACAATATTTTTAATAAGCATGCTATATAAGTAATGTGCATGGGTTGATCTTGTTTTCTCAACACATTAGTCAACTTTCTTTGATGTAAAAGATTTTAATATAGTTAATTTTTTTAATAAATGAAAGATACATTTTGATTGTTGTTCTTCCCCTTTTTCCTACTCGACCTGTCTATCTGTTTGTCTATCTACCTATAGATCTCAGTGATTCCCAACCAATTCTTAGAGGCAAACAGTAGCTCTGCCAGTAACTCTACTACAACAGAAATGGACTATATGTAATAAGATATTGGTCCAGGCACTCAGGGTAATAGCCAAAAAATCAGCTTTATTGGAGCAAAAACAGTGCCTTGACAAAGACCCACTGGGTCGAAACGTTGTTATGCTTGCTCCAATAAAGCTGCTTTTTTTTGGCTATTTAGCTTCTGTGTCTGGACCAATATCTAATAACATATATCTAACGTGGGGTTTGGCCATCCTCGGATCCGGTGCACGTTGGTAGCCTTATGAGTGCGGTTTCCTCTATCTACCTACTTTCAATAGACTGTAAGCGCACCTTGACCTTGCTATCACTCCATTTGTCTGTCTGCCTCCTGTCTGCCTATTCAATATTACTGCTTGATACTTATTTATTGATTTATTTGTATATTTTAATGCATGGAACATACTTTATAAATTCTTGCATCTTTTCCAAAGACAATGCACATATTATTCTCTGAACGTTCTGTTTTTTTTATTTTAGTGTAAAAATGTATTTATTTTTTCTCCAAAAACACTTTATAATATAAGTTTAAATCAAAACCTCTGTCTTTGTAACAATATATTTGTGCCTTTAGGTAACATTCGGTTGCTATATTCAATTTAAATGAAACATAGTTATTGCTTCTTCCTTGTAAATTTGAGTCTCCCGGGGGTGTTAGGTGATGGCGACACGTGTTATTAATTAATCTGTTGTCTCATGGTTTAAATTAAAACACAACAAATCGATAGTCTTGCTCCAAATGTTCTGGGATAATTCAAAGTCTGGTGTTTCACTTTCTGGATGTCTGAAGAGAGAAATAGACAACAGAGATACATCATGGATTAGATATACTGTTCCCTGGATTACAATTACCTACAAGTGGGTTTTCTCTCTGGACTTACGTTTGATTATTCTCTAAGCTACTGATGTGCTGCAGACTTTCTGTACCTTTTTATTGCTCCAATATATTTTCCTAAAATGTCTGCCACGGGAAATGATATGTGTGGATGAAAATAGCGATTGGTGGACCTGATACATATTAAGTTTATGATAGAGTTTTTGGAATGGCTGATTGTGGAGTAATTAATGTGTCTACTTGGAGCAAGTGTAGAAATATGAGTTGCAGTAGAAGAAGACTTGTTTAGTAAGTTTAAAGTGCTATACTGTATACTTTTTCACAAATGCCCAAAATCGGTAATCTCATTGTGACAGAAACGTCTATTTTTGGATTAAGTTTCTCTTCCCTTCATTCGTCTGTTTGTTTTGTTATTTCTTTGCCCGTACAGTACCCCTGTTTCCCTGTATTGTTTCCCGAAAGACTACCGAATACACGACCATCAGTAAGCTGGCGTGTGCAGTCAAATGACCACCCAGTATCTGCGGTTAACCACAGCTTAATTGACTGTTACTGGGTTGTCGCGGTTACACATAGCCGCCACATAGTGGCGGTGTTATGGAAGCCCCCCGGACAGCCAGCGGTGCTCTGCCCAGCCTCACTACACCAAAAGCGGACACTTTTCCTTCCAAGCACCGCTGAACTACCAGCCTACGGGTCCTCAGCTCCGTTTGTGAACCGAACAGCGGAACATTCGGGACTTTATATATTATATTGTATTACATGTGAGGGTACCCAGATGGCATGCCATGGAGCCTGTTCGTGGAATTAAAGACTTTGGCTCCATGGTGATGAAACTTGTATTCGTGTGGTCTGAGTGCCATTCACCTAATAATGTGTGCTCAGACCTGAGCTATCTGGGAGTATGTTATATGTCTGTATTTATTGTGACATTTGTGACACTGTATATTTTAACAGTAATTTCTATTCTGGTGTCCCTACGTGCATAATGGCGATTTGCCTTTATCCTGGGAGATAATTGAATTACTTCTCAATTATCTCCAGGGCAGAGAGGGGGGAGGCCAGGGTGCATTGTGGGGATGTAATGTGACTGTGTGTCCTGATCTGATACCTGTCTGTCCTTTCTTACAGTCTCCCATTTGGTCCCCTAGGGGAGTGTCCACCAAGTGGGAGACCTGCATAAATACGGGCAGGTAGCCCTCATTAAAGCCAGATCTTGTTTTACCCTCATGGAGCTTGGTCTAGTGATTGGGGGGATTTACTATACATGGATAGAGACTGATTGCTGGGAATGTAAGCCGCTTGGATGCTGTGTCTGTTCGTATGTTAGCAGCGATTCATGGAATTACCGTTCGGGAGTTTGAAGTATTACTGGTACGCTGTTTGGGAGTTAGGAGCATTCCCCTGGTTCCAGTTCGGGAGTTTGGGGTTCTAAAGTAGTCGTGCCTGTATCCCTGAAAAGTGGAAGCTCTACTAAGCGGCGGTTTCACTCCTTTATGCCGGGAGTGTTTTAACACTCATAATATAGGAAAGGGAGATTCCACTGCCCAAATAAAATAGAAATGCTGTTTATATCCCAAATGAAAACATGTACATATTTAATTATGCATTTGTTTCATTGAGGGTATATCTAAAAACGGCTTACAAAAGCATATCTCTTGTCTGCAGCCTTCTGCAGCCTTCACAAGCCCTCCCCTTCTAACCCCGCCCAGACTCCCTGTGGCTGTCCAATCAGAAACTTCCCAATGCTGCTCAATGAGAAGTCTTTGCAAGGCAGGTGCTCTGGGCAATTGCTGTCTCTTGAGTTCATCTCCACTGAGCTAAACAAACCAGGAAATAACTGAACCAGTTTATTAATTGACAGCAGGGGGGTGTAATGTTAGTTTATAAAAGTGCCAGTTTCTGAGGAAATCTGAACACACTTCCCACATAATGCACTTTAGCATGTTTAAGCGCTTTAGGGGGTCTGAAGTGTCCCTTTAACCCATTCATATAGCCACTAATACTATAATACTATAAATAGCCAATCAATACACCAATAAGATTTAGATTTTTACATATGACAAACAATCTGTGAACCCTTTGCTCATGTATGAACGCGTTAAACAAAAGGCAGATCTGTAGTTGTTGCAGATGTACAATTCCAGAACAGCAAAGGTGAACTATTAAAGTGATAATTAATTTATAGGATGAAAAATTGAAATAGTTCCATATATCCTTTAATTGTTGCTGACTAGAACAGTTTCCACCTGCTGTTTTCACCAGTGAACACTAGACCTCGACAGTGCATATAGAGTAGGATTCATAGGAGTTGTAGTTCTATAATAGCTGGAGATCCACCCCTGGCTATTGGAGCTAAGACAAGCATATGGGGCCTGCAGAAAGATATATACCCAGGAGCATCGAGCATCTGTGTTTTATAATGGCTTTTAAAATAATCTAATGTGCAAGATAATGAAACAACGTGTACCTAGTTAATGACATTTGTATTACATTTGTAGCATTAGACTGGTTCTGTGCCTTTAAGTTTGACACGCTCACTGCCAGATTACTTTTTTCCTTTTGATATTTCTAAGTCGCCCTGTACTCGAGCAGCCGTATCCCAGTTGCTGTGTGATTTTGTGTTATGCGCCAAATATTTACTTTAGCAGGACTTTGCAAGTTATGCTGGTTTTTCTGAGACACGCACATTTATGATTTTTCCAGGTCCACTAGTTCCTACGACAACTAGTGAGTCAGTAAGAGTATTTAAAAAAACAACTACCGTATATACTCGTGTATAAGTCGATCTCATGTATAAGTCGAGTGCAGTTCTGTGACCAACAATTGTGAAATATGCTATGCCTCGTGGATAAGTCGAGGGTAAAACTTGGGGCTATGAAATTCTGTGATTTTTATAATTATATACACACACACTCATACAAACACACACTCTGCATTATATACACACACACTCATACAAACACACACTCTGCATTATACACAGACACTCATACAAACACACACTCTGCATTATATACACACACACTCATACAAACACACACTCTGCATTATATACACACACACTCATACAAACACACACTCTGAATTATATACACACACACTCATACAAACACACATTCTGCATTATATATACACACACTCATACAAACACACACTCTGCATTATATACACACACACACTCATACAAACACACAGTCTGCATTATATACACACACTCTCTGTATATAATTCAGAGTGTATATAATGTAGTGTGTGTGAACTGGGTGGGGGGAGGGCATTTTTATTATTTAAATTTCTTTTATTTTACTATTATTTTTTTATTATTTTAATTTTTTTTTGTCCCCCCCCTACCTGCTTGTTAACTGGTCAGGGAGGGGGGCTATCTTAATCCCTGGTGGTCCAGTGGCATGGGCTGTGAAGTGAGGGGGCCGGCAGGAAGCATTTACTTACCTTTCCTGCAGCTCCTGTCAGCTCCTTTCTCCTCCGTTCCGGTCAGCTCCACTGTAAGTCTCACGGTCTGGTTGCCACGCTGATCGTTGCCATGGCTCTGACGGCCGCGGCTTTCTAAGTTGCCATAATACAGACAGTAACTCGAGTATAAGTCGAGTGGGGGTTTTTAAGCACAAAAAATGTGCTGAAAAACTAGACTTATACTCAAGTATATACTGTATATTATTTTAGTAGTTTGTTTATATACATTGAACAAAATTAAAAACGCAACACTTTTGTTTTTGCCCCCATTTTTCATGAGCTGAACTCAAAGATCTAAGACTTTTTCTATGTACACAAAAGGCCTATTTCTCTCAAATATTGTTCACAAATATGTCTAAATCTGTGTTAGTGAGCACTTCTCCTTTGCCGAGATAATCCATCCACCTCACAGGTGTGGCATATCAAGATGCTGATTAGACAGCATGATTATTGCAAAGGTGTGCCTTAGGCTGGCCACAATAAAAGACCACTCTAAAATGTGCCATTTTACTGTATTGGGGGGTCTGTTGTGGTCCAGGATGGATTTCGGGGTGGGTCCGAAAACCAGTCAGTATCTGGTGTGGCCACCATTCGCCTATCGTATATGCTGATCTAGAGAAGTGTTCACTAACACAGATTTAGACAGATTTGTTGGCCCTCCTGGGACATCAACTTTGTTACATATCTTAGAAACTCAGAAACTCAAAATGCTGGCAAGCTCCTTCTATGAAATATATATTATATAAGGCCCTTGGGGCACTGAGCATCTAATTGAATTCCTCACAAAGAAAAAAAATAACAATAATAAATAATTAGAAACATTGGGAGTTCAAAGTCTGTCTCTGGATTTCAAAAACATGGAACATAAATATTGAATAAGTGGAAAAAATCATTAACAAGTCATTACTATTTTTTTTTTTTTTTTGCTGCTAGCCCAAATAAAGTATAAATAAAAAAGTAAATTGTGAGTAAATGTTGTAGTTGCACAAATATATTCACTCAATATAAAAATGTTTGCATATTGACTGACTTCATGCAAAAATGGTGTAGAAAAGTGTGATTGGTGCTCTAAAACCCTAAAATTAATACAAAAAGATGAATCAAGTATGGGAGTCTAATCACTAAATCTCATGTAACGAATGCATCAAAAAAGTAACAAAAGGAAAAAAATGATAGGGCACAAAAATACAATTAACAAAAAAAATGAACTCCCATCAGAATATTCAAGGAGCTATAATAAAAATACAATGCAAAGTAAAATAATAATAATATGTAGGGCAAAATAATACATTTTAGGTAAGTATATGTAGATATACTCACATTTAAATGAGCCTTTGGTACTGGCTCAGATATATCAGGCATAAAAGGCACTCCAGAATTCAGGAATAGTGATGTCCTGAACTGTTCGCCGAACGGTTTGCGAACGGTTCGCCACGGACTCATCATTGAGTAAACTTTGACCCTGTACCTCACAGTCAGCAGACACATTCCAGCCAATCAGCAGCAGACCCTCCCTCCCAGACCCTCCCACCTCCTGGACAGCATCCATTGTGAAGCTGCATTCTTACTGAGCTGTCCAGGAGGTGGGGGGGTCTAGGAGGGAGGGTCTGCTGCTGATTGGCTGGAATGTGTCTGCTGACTGTGAGGTACATGGTCAAAGTTTACTCAATGATGAGTCCGCAGCGAACCGTTCGTGGCGAACCGTTCGCGAACCGTTCGCGAACCGTTCGGCAAACAGTTCGGGACATCACTATTCAGGAACTTGCTCTTAGAAGGCCTCCAAAAACAGAAGATACACAGGATTATCAAAAGGAACATGAAACATTTATTCAAAAAAATAAAATATACACAGCAAGATGTTCCTTTATCACCCCAGTTATATTTTCCACGTGCGTTTTTATTGAATTTATTTGTTTAATGAAAATTTGGTTCACTGGTTTTGGCTCGTAAAAGCGTATGAAATAAAATACTGAAGAATTATAATTGCAAGTCATTTTTTTACATAAAGTATATATTTAGGATTCATTTTTTTCAGTGGTATCTCGTTAGTATTTATATATCCCCTTGGCTTTAATCAACCTTTTAGTGAAGGAGGGGTAAAGCAAATAATGTGTTGGCTAATATGTGGGGTATTACTGCCCCTACTGTGTTATACAGGTCCATATTGGAAAGTGGTGCTGAGCCTTTCATTCTATTAATCAAAACACAAACAAGCTCACTACAACAGAAACATTTTATCTTCTACAAATTGCCTCCATTCAGGGAACCAGATGAGATTTTGCTGAATGATAATATATAAATTACCGACACTGCAGGACAAGGCTAAGTTGCACTTTGGCAATTTACATGTAGGATAGAGAATATTAAAGGTGCAAATTGCATAGCAACCACAGTGCATCCTTAATAACATGTGTCTGTATTCTCTCAGAGCTGAATACCGCGTTCACATTAAGTCATTAGGACAGGGAATCCAACCTTAGACATTATTAAGAGGCCAACCGATGTTTGCAAATGGAGGCTCTCTTGCGATAATTAGGGATTATTCAGACTTTTCTGATAGGAATGCAATTTTTTGGGGATCAACAACAAAAACCAGATGTGAGAAAGGCTGGACGCAGGCTCTTTTCAATTTATGTGGCTATGTAACTATATGTAACTAATTGACATTTCTTGACCTAGATATTGAAATGTTACAATGAGTCCACGTCTTAGTCGTTCAAGGTCACATTTAAAGCTAGGGTTGCCATTTGGTCGGAATTTTACCAGTACAGCAGTATATTGGTATACCAGTATATTGGTATGTTTTCCCAGCAGTCATAAGGAGAGTGCTCTGTACGTGAAGGAGCCCAGCTTCCCGTGGAGTGATCCCTTCTACACCTTCTTCTAGTGTGTGTCAGATCATCCCATGCCAAGTTCCTCGGCTTGGTCCTTATCTGCTCTGCCTGTACTACTTACAGTATAACCTGTCTGCTCTGAGAGTCCAGGTTTCCTGCAATCAGCCTTTTATCATAGAGAAGAGCTGCTGTGTTGAGCAAAGGAGGTCTGGATCATGGAGGTTGGATTCAGGAACAAGTCCTTACATAAAGTTAATGTCGCATCCCTTCCCTGCTCTGTGTGTCACACCCTGGAGGATCAGATAAGGCTGGGCATAAGTAAGAGCAGCTTGCATAAATAATTCTGTTACTGACTTTGAGAAAGTGTCAACTCATCCCGACAGAACTGTAGCGTAACTCACAATCACTGAGGCAGGACAGTCATAAAACAAAAACACTTTTTTTCGTTTCTCCTCCTTTCCTCTTTTTCTCTCGGTTGAGAGGGGGGGAATAAAAAGAATGAGTAAAGAGATGAGAGAGGGAGAGAGAGAGAGAAAGGAGAGGGGATAAAATATTAAGAGCTAAAATAGGAAGATGTATTATAAAAATTGATGGATAAAATGGATAGAAGAAATGGGAGGTTAACAATGCTTTACTGTTGGTAAAAGGGTTAATTTAAAGAGGAGGGATGAGTGAATGAGTGAAATACAATTGATGAGTGAAATACAGTTTAAAGAAAGGGAAGGAAAGGTATAAAGGGGAAGGAAATGGTATGGAAAGGAAAAGGGGAATAAGTACCACAATAGTAGACATTTGATATATAATATAAGTAGTAAAGAGATGGGAAAAAAATACATTTTACAAATATAAAGAAACTTAAGTTTAAATGTATAAGAATATGGGTGTGTTTTGACAAATGTACGTATTCACATATTTGTATACATTTATATTGGTATAAACACTGAATTAATATATGTTTTAATAATAATACACAGGATAATATTTTCCCAATACCACAATTTATTTAAAGTAAATATACACAATAGTTAACACTAATATTATAATAAAGATTGTTCATCAATGTTAATATAAATATTAATAACCTTATAAAGAATATTTAAGATACCCTCTCCCACAGCAACCCCCACCACCCCCCTCAATATTATTACGATCTCTATAACATATCGGGAAAAAATCCCCAATATAACAGAAAAAAAATGAAAATAAAAAAAATCCAATCATATCTTAAAAGACATATCAATGTAAAATTGGATAATGAAATGATTAGTAGACTAGATCTCATTGAAGTTATTAATAAATCTCCAAAAGTCAAGAGCCCAGGACCAGATATGCTGACAATGACCTATTATAAGATATTTCTAAAAGTGTTGGGTCCACATTTACTCCAATTATTTTATTCACTTGATAAAGGGAAACATTTAACAATACAGACACAGGAAGCACATATAATTATAATACCAGAACCTGGGAAAGATAAAGAACTATTTGCCAGTTACAGGCCAATTTCATTATTAAACTGTGATGTTAAGATCTTGGCAAAGATAATTAGTGAGAGAATTAAAACTATATTACCTAAGCTGATATAGTCAGACCAAGTGAGATGTACCAAATAGGGAGGCAAGAGATGCAACTACTCAATCTGATTTATGAGCTTAAAAGAGGAGGTATCCCTGCAATGTTACTTTTGTAAATTGGTCATTATTAGAAACATAGGATGTGACGGCAGATAAGAACCATTCGGCCCATCTAGTCTGCCCAATTTTCTAAATACTTTCATTAGTCCCTGGCCTTATCTTATAGTTAGGATAGCCTTATGCCTATCCCACGCATGCTTTAAACTCCTTTACTGTGTTAACCTCTACCACTTTAGCTGGAAGGCTATTCCATGCATCCATTAGCCTCTCAGTAAAGTAAAGTAATACTTCCTGATATTACTTTTAAACCTTTGTCCCTCTAATTTAAGACTATGTCCTCTTGTTGTTCCTCTTGTTGTGGTAGTTTTTCTTCTTTTAAATACAGTCTCCTCCTTTACTGAATAATATTTGGGATTGTTAAAACCATCAGTGTCATTTGAGGACACCATGTACCAGGAGTGGGGTTTGAACCCACGCGGACATTTGTCCATTGGATCTTAAGTCCAACGCCTTAACCACTCGGCCATCCTGGTGCTACACTTTTTAAAGATTTGTGCAGAGAGCACTAATGCTTATTTTCTTTTAGGTTTTTTGTTTTGTTTGTTTTTTTATTTTTTTCTAGATGGACAGCCCAGTCACAAAGTAACCTTTCTTTATGGCCCATTGCTTACATTTGGACAAATGTGCACGGTTGTCTCTGTGTCAACCAGACGGCTAGGCAAGGCCACCCC